CTTCCCCTTTTGACATGCATCACAAATTAGATTCTTCTCAAACTTAAGTTTAGGAACACCAATTACTAAGTCTTTTGAAACCAACTTATTAAGATGGTCCATATTAACGTGAGCTATCCGACGATGCCATAGCCACGTTTCTTCCTCTTTGGTAATGAGACACTTAGCTAAAGTAGACGGGGAATTTTCAAGATCAAACATGTAAATGTTATCTACTCTACTACCACAAAGAATAGTCTTATTGTCACACAAGAGTTCTACAATGCATTTTCTAGAATCAAAGATGACACGGTTACCTCTATCGCACAATTGGCTAATGCTAAGAAGATTGTGCTTGAAGAACGTTCTCAACGGCTGTAGCATTGTCCTTTCCGACGGTGCCACTTAAAATGATTCTTCCTTTGTTGTTGTCACCAAAAAAGACATTTCCACCTTTGAAATACTCTAAACTCCTAAATTTGGATGCGTCTCCGGTCATGTGCTTGGAGCATCCGCTATCGAGATACCAAGAGGTACTCGAAGCCTTCAAGCACACCTACAAAAGATATCAAGGAGACGGTTTAGGTACCCATGTATTGTTGGGTCCTTTTTGGTTAGCATATGTGCGATGTGTGTGCGTTTGTTGAAAATGCCTAATTTTGGTGAAGCACACGGGTGCAATGTGACCTATCTTATTGCAATAGTGGCAAATAACATTTGGATGATTCATCCTATATGGTTGAGTGTAATGAGTTCTAGGTTTGCTAGGATGTGCTTTTCTAGTTTGATTATTTATCATAGCATTTTTATTCCCCCTAGCTTTAACAAATGTTGTTTTTCTAGGTTGCTTTTTCTTATATCCAAGTCTTTCATCATTACTAACTTTTTGCTTAAGTATTTTATCTAAGGTGTTTGAAGCATTATTGAACTTTCCCAATTTTGCTCTTTAAACTAGTAACCTTAGGTTTTAGTGATGTACAACTAGAGCATGTAGAAGAGGAAGTAGTTGAAGGTTCTTGTGGCCTTTTTCCAAAAGAGCTAATTTCTTGTTTAAGTTTGTCATTTATATTTTTGAGTTCTTTGATTTCATTCTCAAAAATCAGGATTTTTTGCTTTATTTCATTGTTTTCTTTGGAAGCTTTTTTGAACATTCTTACCAAATCTTCTACAATGCAAACAACATCATTAAGAGTTAAAGGATCATTGGGAGAAGGTTCTAGATCACTTACCTCTTTTGATGTATCACTATCTTCAATGGCCATGAGACACAAGTTGGCCACTTCCTCTGTTTCTGAGTCTTCACTCCCGGAGCCGTCGTTCTCCCAAGAAATGTAAGCACGTTGCTTCTTCGGTTCCCTCTTGTCCTTCTCGTTCTTGAGCTCTGGGCACATTGGTTTGATGTGTCCAATTTCACCACACCCATAGCATTTGGGTGGAGTGTTCTTCTTGGCTCCCTTCTTTAGCATCATCTTCTTGAATTTTCGGACAAAGAGTCTGAGGTCGGTGTCGTCACTGTCATCATCTTCATCATCAACGTTGTTGTGGGTTGATGTTGTTGCGGGTAGAGCAATAGACCTTTTGTTCCTCTCTTCAACCACCTTTGAGAGTTGGGTGGTTTCATAGGTAATAAGATTACCTCGAAGGAAGTCACGACTTTCTTCGATTGCGTCCACCTTTGAACGCCATTTAGAGGATAGGCTTCGCAGCACCTTTCTCATGAGCTCTCGGTCGGTGTATGTCTTCCCGAGAAGATTGTGAGGATTCATGATGTTAGAGAACCTCTCAAACATTTCCTCAATCTTCTCATTTTCCTTCATTGAAAAGAGTTCATACTCGTGAGTGAGATGGTCAATTTTGGCATCCCAAACCTGCGCAGTTCCTTCGTAGGTGACCTCCAATTTTTCCCACATTTGTTTTGCGGTTTCACACCGCAAGATTTTGCGGTAGTCATCCGCGTTAACACCGCAATAAATCATGTTTATTGCCTTTGCGTTGAGCTCCATCTTTTTGCAATCTTCGTCGGTGAACTCCTCTTCGGTTTTGGGAACATTGACTTCACCGACTTTCTTCATCGGGACTCTGCAGCCGTTCTTCACAATCAACCACAGCTTGTAGTCGTTGGATTGGATAAAGATTCTCATCCTCTCCTTCCAATACGAGTAGTTGGTTCCATCGAACAACGGTGGCCTCGTGGTTGATTGTCCCTCGTTAACTCCCGCGTTGAACATTCTCGAAGCCATTTGATCTTTTAGTTCCTGAAAAAAAATAATGTATTCGAAGAACTTCCTGCTCCGATACCAATTGTTAGACAAATGTGCAACTCTAGAGGGGGGGTGAATAGAGTTGTTTTCAAGAATGTGCGTTTTTCGCGTGTGTGAAATAATAAAATCGCAGGAATAAATAAAGAGAGTAAGGGAAAGAAGAACACCGAGATTTATACTGGTTCACCACCTCGTGGCTA